TAATGTAGACACAAGAATGTCTATTTACCGATTGCAACTTCATTGTGCCACCTTTGCTTGCTCATAAGATTGGGTTGATTTTTTATTCCATTTCAATCTAATCTCTGGCTTATACTTAAATGTTTTCAATTGAGAGTAGGTAGTATTTCACTCTCCGACATCCAACACCTCCCTTCTCTGTTGCCAAAATAGCTGTCCGCCAGCGGAAGCTATAAGCCAATCTTGCCTGCGTTGATTATCCGATAAGAGCCAGTGCAAACATTGTTGCTGTGAATATCTCTCTGATTCCATATCCCAATTCTAGGGAGCTCAGTGTACTGTAATAGTGGTAAAATTTTGTGTGAATCGCGCTTCAGTTTGCTGAAGGGAAGATCTACAATTTTAACAAGAGTGACAATTTTCGGTGGTATATTTCTTCGCTAATATTTTGTGGAAATTGTATCCGGTAGTTATTGCGGAGAGTTATATCTTGAAGTTTTGTCAACTTTTACTACTGAATTTACACTTTGAAATATTCTCAACCTCATTTTCAAGATTCTGAAGCTTTTCTAGTCGTAAGGAGTAAAAATCTGTAAGTACCTAGACCTACGCCTGTGCTTTTCCTTTGTTAATCATTTGGGTGATTTCCTACTTTGCATTCGTATTTTTTATTGAGGGATGAACCAGGTTTTGTTTTTGACAAATGCTGAATTCTCATTGAGTGAAAGTAATTACATTTATTGAGAACGGGCTGCCAAGTGATAAAAATGATTTTTCAATTTACATTTTTCGCTGCAATGAGTTTTAGCAATTTATCATACCTTGGACAGTCTGTTCTACATTTAAAATAGGTAGCATGAATTTTTGATCTATCTACATTTGTTCCTTCCAGTGCTTCCCCAGTGCTTTATTTATTTCTACGAAGGCTTGCAACATTAAAGTTAGGTTTTTGAAAATTTCTCTTGATATCTCTACACGATGAATAAGCTAACATTCATATGCTGATTTTCTTTCTCAATAAGCATCATCTCTTCTCTAAGATTCATCTCTTTTCTCAAATTGACTTGCTGAACTATCAGCCAAGGAGTTCAAATCTCTCTTGATATCTGAAACATGATCAACAAGCTAACGTTCATATGCTCTTTTTCTTTCTTAGACATTGAATTATCCATCACTTTCCTGAAACTAAATTGTTATGAACTATCAACAAAGAAATATATACCTATTTTAAAAAGAAGGAAAGAAAAAAAATCTTGTTCAGAAATTGACACAAGATAATTCACTCAATGTTTAAAACTTTGCTGGAAAGTTTTTCTTTTCTAAGTATGTACTTTAATGGTGAATTTTCAGCTGTAGTTCCGAAAAAATCCACCACGTCGCGGACAGCGGCGGCGCGCAGAGCCCCGGCCGTCCAGCCCGTAAGTAGCGCCTAGAGCGCAAGCTGCCTATGCCGCTCGAGGCCGCGACTTACGGTTTTCATGTCCGTAGGACTCCGCATCGTCCCCGCACGTAGCAATCCGGCCGTCAGGCGCGTAGGCGAACGGTAGTGCCATATAGCCCATCCAGTCCGTGCTCCAGGTCCGCTGCTTATGGCCTCCACGGCCGGAGCTTTTTTTGAGTGTGGAGAAAATATTACCACGGGATGTATCTAGTACAACAATAACAATATCAATTTATTGAGTTCATAAAATAAATAAATAAAGTACATGAAATTTGGCAGTTACATATTTACATAATCATATCGAACTTTTTCGTTTCAAACGTCCATGTGGTGAGATTGTTACTTAGATGTGCGTGAAACTATATCAGTTATGTCGACTGGAATTTATCAGGAAAAGGGAAGAAGGTAGTTCGCAAACAAATACAGTTTAAAGTGAAAGTAGTTATCTTTTTAAGTATAGTACCTATTCTTCTTCCTTTTAAACACAATTCAACACTTAAAACAATCGCCATTATTTAAGTAGTATTTTCCCTTTCAACAAAATTTCACGGAGATAACATCCACTGGTATTGCAGCAGTATGTAACGATACTAAAGTCTTAATTCGTTCCTTCCACAAAGTGTTTGCTTCAAATTAAGTGATAAAATTTAATGAATTGAAAAGGGATTATTTTTAAATAGCGCCTTTACTAAAACGGAATGAAAATACTTAAAAAAAAAAATCGTTGCCGACAGTACACGGATTTCTAACGGATACCATTTTTCCTCAAAATAATCATCATAGAGGATAAAATTCTAGAAACTCAACCATTGGACAAAATGTTGATAAACATTTTCTTTCTTCACATCGTAAATTAACCTTTAACTTAAATAACCTTTGAGACTTTACGTAGAGCTTCTTTTTGAGTAACAAATATGTTCTAAACTTTCATATCAATTGAAAACATTCTTCATTACTAACTTTATTTGCATCCTAATTTTGTTTAGGAACTTTTCCCCGCTCCAATTAAGTACTTACAGCACTATATTCTTAAAATTATGACTGAGATTTTATCGATTGTGAATCAACTTTTCAAAAAGTAAATTCAGTAGATTGCATCAAACTCGTATACTTGGTTTAAAGGTAAGTGAAACTGCCAAATCAGGAGGAAAGTTGTGAATAATCTATTCACATTATCTCCGGGTATTCAAAGGAAATAACAAAGACAATGGATACTTTGTTTCCCGCTCAACGCTAAGCATCAACAAATTTTGAAAATCTATGTTACAGACAAACTGATAGGCTCAAAAGTTAAATGAATTTTAAAAGCAAGTTGCGAAAAAAAGGGGACCGAATCTGGCAGCCAATTAAAATGAAAATGAAAAGTTTTAATTAATTAACTAGCATCATCATCCTATACAAATAATAATTAATACTGTATTTTACAATTCACTTTTAGGGTATTTACAATTTTATTGTAGATTCTTTTTACAAGTAATTTGCACTGGATCGGGTCTTTGGTAAAATATATTTGTTTAGGCCGAACGGCAACCATTTTAAACGGGCCTGCTTTGCAAACCGAACATGAGACTGAACTTACAATGATGCGGACATGACCTGTGAGATCTGACTTGCTAACGGGAATTTCCATAGTTCATTAAACATTTTTCGTTGTGAAAATAATTTTCCACTTACTATTTTTAAAGGAAAATGTGTAACAGAGTAATTTAGTTCATACCTTGTCGAGCGCTCCATTTTTGCAATAGGACGATACCACTTTTTTAACACCAAGGATCGTATTTTGCCTAATTCGTGAAATGAAGGCACTCGGAATTTCTTAGCCGACAACGAGCGGTTCAACATTTCCTGCTTAAGAGCGATACCAATATTCTAACACCCGGGATCGAAATTTGCCTTCTGCGAAAGCACTTCAATTTCTCAGCCAACAACGTGTGCACAGTGAGACGGACCATTGGGAAAGGGTGGATCTGAAATTGTTGATTAAAACTTCAAATTTTGATGTTTTCTCATCACATTACACATTTTAAGAGGTGTTACCAACAGGCAATTTTATAAGGAGATCAGCGGAGTCACTTTTGAACCTCTACGTTTCATACACACGAAATTGAAAGCTTTGGGAAAAAAAAGTCTCTTGAATCTAGAGTGCAGATTTAAAAAAAAAACTTGGCAAGAAAAAATACTCCAGATTCAATCGGATTTTTGTTCGAATCAAAAGGAAATCTGCTTAAATTAAGAGAGTGGGCTCTCAATTCGAGCAAAAATCCGCGTGAATCAAGAGTATTTTTTCTTGCCAATTTTTCCAAGAGTCTGTACTCTGGAGCCATGTGACTTTTTTCCAGTGAGTTTAGAAGTTTCCTTATCATATCCAACCATCCTTATAGACTCGCTCCACTGTGCGACGTACGGTTTAAGATATGTAAACTTTTTCAGTGTACATCATCTCACATAACTTGTCCAGCACTCCGTTTACGCAGAAGAGAGATACCGCAATTCTAACACCTGGGATCGAATCTTGCCTACTTTATGAAATGAAGGCACTTTCAATGTACCACTGGACAAGGTACAAATTTAAGCATTCTGTTACATATTTCCTGACCAAAATTTCACGTAGAAAATGATTTGCGCAACAAAAATTACCGAAATCAACTCCTAGCAAAGATGCCGACGTTTTCATTTTACATTGGTGAGGGGAAATTTGCACTGTCCGCTCACAAGAAATGCACTACTTGAGTCCAATCGCGCACAACGGTTTTAGCAGGCTTCTTCATCCAGCACTATTCATTTCCCATCATGTGTTGTTCAAACTATAAACAACTTGCTGTAGCTGAGCCAAAACGTCAAGATTGGGGTTGCCAGATTTTCATACGGCAGAGACTAGCATGCATCGTTTAGTGCGCGATGTGATTCGCGTAGGGCAGTGAGTTTCATGAGCGGGAGGTTTAAATTCACGCATCAAGGAACATCAATAATCTTTGTTAGGAGTTGATTCCAGTAATTTTCAGTGCGCGTATCGCGTTCTTCGTGAAATTTAGGTGAAGAATTATATATCCAAATGCTTAAATTTGGACCTTGTCTATTCTGCCGTGTTAAGGAAGAATGCCGTATGAATATTCGGCAGTTGCCAAATTTGCCTTAATGAAACATGTATTTTTGACGCAATTTAAGTATCTCATCTCTTGAAATTTTAAGATATTTAGATTAAATTGCGTACAAAATTGTCTGAAATTTTTGGAAGAAAAAATCTACAATTTTTCCTGTAAATTCTGTTTTTATCGAAGGAAATTCGGCAAGGCCTGAAGGCTCATACGGCGTTCTTCCTTAGGACGGCAATATTGGTCCATTGCTTAGCTAGAGTCCCTTTATACTGAGAGTCAAGACAACACCCCTCATGGAGTCACAAACGGGAATAAAGATTACAGAAATTGAACATTTTTTGTTGGTTTTTTGTAGTCTTTGATCGGCCCATTCTCAAATTCCTCTCTCCGTTCCTTCTCTCATTCCGTATGTTCCTTGCCGAACCCGTAATTCCCTGGTCCATTCCAGATTATAATCTTTGCAATGGGTGAAAATGTAATCTTTATTCCCGTTTGTGACACTGTGAAGGCCTAAAATACGGGAACCAATGAGAAATGGATTCAAATTGTCTTGACTCTCAGTATAAAGGGACTCTATGCTCAGCCAAGAAGGTGAGTGGGGTTTTTTTAAAACTAGACTTTTTCAGGTGACACTATCTCGCGGCAGAGAAAAGTTGGCGTCTCATTGTAGATCGGTTGACACGGATTCACTCGAACTTGTGGGCCTTGGGGTCTTGGGCGTCGGTGACGGGCTGGTCGCAGTCGGGCCAGGCTGATTGCTACATGAGCGGGGTCCCGCAGTGGGCGCCCAGCTCCCGGCGGAACTTCTTCCCCGCGGAGGCGCCCGAGCTCCGGAGCTCCCCGTCCTCGTCGCTCTCCTCCGCCTCCTCCTGCTTCCGTTTCGCTGTCGCCATTTCCGCCGCGTGCTTCTTCCGCCATTTCGTCCGCCGATTCTGAAACCACACCTGCAACAAAACAGAAGCTACCGTCAGTCCAGCCTATGCCCTATTATTGGCTCACTAAACCATAAACAAAGGATGTGTCCCGTTAAGGATAGAGTACCTTTATAGACAGAGTATGGCCATTTCTGTTCCGGTTTTTCATTGGTCGCGTGAAAATAGGCTGACACGATGTTCTTAGGGCCATAAATAAACAAACAAGATGGCTGTTATCAGCAAGCAAGATTGAGGTTATGCACATCTTACGTCCTCCTGTGATAAAGGTGAAAGGCGATTTAACAATGTTTTCGTGTGTTTTTCGTGTGTTATTCGTCGACATGCTAGTTTAAATTGTTACTGCCGCATAATTGAAATTTGTGTCAAATTTAGCTTTTTATCGATGTTACTGTGAGCCGCCATTTTGTTTGTTTATTTACGGCCCTAAGAGCATCATGAAGCCTAAAAACTCGTCGACCAATCAAAAAGCGGAACAGTTCTCCTGTAGTAAAAAGATACGAATGGCCATACTCTGTCTATAAAGGTACTCTAATCAAGGAGGGTATTTTAGCCCTAACTTTGGTTACAAATTTTAACAGTTTAGCATAATGTCATTTATGGTCAAATCTACTCTTAATCATCTACCCTGTGAGAAATTGTCCTTATTTGAGGTATTTTTAAAAGGTTTTTGCCTGATTTACCAACGCAAAGTAGTCAAGTTCTGCAGTTTTCTCGAATAATTATCACTGGTAAAAAAAAACCTCTTGGTTCAAGAGTGCAGTTTCTTGTCGCCGGATTTAAGAGTCTGCACTCTTGTTTCAATGCAAAATCCGCTTGAATCAATGCAAAATCTTTTGAAACAAGAGTTCAAGACTCTTAAATCCGGCGACAAGAAACTGCACTCTTAAGTCACTGCACCGCGGCATTGGTCCAAGAGGTTTTTTTTTACCAGTGATTGCTCATTTTCGGTCCGAAATTAGATTGTTTATGTATGAGCGCAAGGAACTACCACTTTCATATTCGAATACCTATGTTAATCTTCAGTTCACCCATTACAACATATTCGAGTATGAAAGTGGTAGTCACTTGTGCTCATACATAAACAATCTAATTTAGGACCGAAAATGAGCAATTATTCGAGAAAACTGCAAAACTTGACTACTTTGCGCTGATAAATCAGGCAAAAACCTTTCAAAAACACCTCTATTGAGGACAAGTTCTCACAGGGTAGATGAATAAGAGTCGATTTGACCATACATGACATTATTTTAAGCTGTTTAAATTCTTAACCTCAGTTAGGGCCAAAATACCCTCCTAAATGGGATACATCCTTTTCACTTGCGCAAACATTTTTCCAGGGGTACATAACGCGCAGAACACGGTGCGCACGTTTGAAAAGCGTAAAAGTAACTCAGAAGCCGAGAAATATGGAATTCAAAAAGCGCAACTTATCAGTAACTTTAAATCGCCCCGGTTTCGCGCCGAACCGAATCTGCTCAGAAATCGGGATCTGCCTGAAACTCATTGACCGATCGATGAGCCCACCCCCTCATCTGTAATCTTTTTCCCGGTCCACGTCAACCCAGAGAAAACGCACAAGAGATTCATACAGCAAGTGATAACATGAACCACTCTTTCCGGTAATTAATGACATAATGAGTGGACGAGGCTGAGCCCGACTCTGAGTCAGATTACGGCGAAGGAAATCCCTGCACGGCGGAAAAAGGTCGTCCTCGGAGGGCGGATCCGCCGACGCACAACTTGTAACAGCTTAATGAGCCGAATAGTCGCGGTGCGATGCCCGATTACCGGAAAAAACTCGCCCACTCCCCCGTCGAACCGTTGTACTTCGGGCGAGTTGTTAGTTCGCGCGGCAACCGTGGCGCTGGTGTAGCGTAATCCCGGGGATGAGCGCGCAGCTGCCGCGGCCTGGACTTAACCCACATTATCGTCCCATCTTACATTATTATGCTAATTTTCCCGCGCATAATATACCCCGCCCGGGCTCCTTGCATTAATTAATTAAGTGACTGACAGACTAAGTCCTCCGCGACGCCGCAACAAGATGCCAGAGTAATCCTCTTGATCGGCCCGCTCTCGTGTTCCGCCTTCCGCTTCCAGCTTCCCGAAATCCGAGTCTTAAGTGCAGCTAATTCGCTCGATTGGGGGTATTCTCTTACGCTAAGTTAAAACAACATACGTGGATTCAAATGTTGCCAAATTCCCCCCACCTCCTCGGTGAAATGTTTTGTGCCATGGATGTTACATCGATTGACAATCGGAAATCAAGTCACGCATTTCAAATCATTGCGATGTTTTTTCGCTTTTTTTTCTCTCAAAAAAAGGCAAGCCGACTTCATAGCTTGAGGTTACTCGAAATCCATACACATAATTCTACTAACAGAGAAGAGAGAAAAAAACCAAGACAGTTTTTGAGAAATTTTGTCGACTATTTTTCCAATGAAAAAGTAAAGTATGACAGGAATTAAAGGAGATTCGTGATTATGCACTTTGGCCATCGATATGCATGTTATGCTTTATCTTGAAAGTGTTCACTCTAATTTCTAAAGCCTTTCCTGAAAAAGTAAAAGAAGTAGAGGGAAAAAAGAAAATGAGAAAATAGACGATGAGAAAAAGCATGAAAGCACGAGGAGGAAAACGCAGGAAAATTAATAAATTTTTACTCTCTTTTTATCCCCTCTCATTTTCTTCTTTCTCTTTGTCTCCTAATTCTTCTTCTTCTAATTTCTTTATTTTTTATCTCCTATTTCTTTATCTTTTTCCTTGTCTTCTCTTATTCATCCTCTTCTTCTTCTTCTATTCCTATTCCATTCATTCATATTCCTTCGTATTCTCCTTCCAGACTAGGGTTAAACAAGTGAAATTTTCTGGAAAGCTCAGAGAGAAAAAATTCCTAGTTTTCCCGGAGAATTCGAACATTATTTGAAAAAATTTAGGAACATTCACACGATAGTCCGTGCGGCTGAGATAACCCGCCTGGTTCAGATTTCCGTTTTCGAAATGTCGTATTAGGAGGGATCCTAATCCCTCTAGTTAAGCTTGTTTCGGGTTAAGACCGAGGTGGCTGCTTCATGTTGGACTGTTTAGATGGTTCACAGTGTGTCCATACAGTGCCTCCAATTAGGGATAATTAGGGACCCCACGGGAATTTATTCTGGGGTTTAGTTTCAGCGTGCCAGGTATAGAAGTGTTTGGATTTCCATTGCTATAGACATTATGCATTGTTTTGTTGGTCCACATTGTCTTGAGACTTGCGCTTTTAACCTAATGTGTTTGGCTTTGTGTCGGGATGAACTTTATGCATTGTTTCTCGACCTAAGTTATCGTAAGACTATTATTCAGAGAGCACCCACCGCGTCATGGAGCCTTAGAGGCCAAAATCGGCAGTCAACCTAAAAAATCCAATTATCCGGTGTATTTAGTATTACAACTGTTATGACCCATCATTTTGTCTCCCCTCCCCACCCATCGTCGGTGAAGCACGTAGGTATTTGACTTAGTACTTGCATAAATTTACTAATTTTTGCGGAAAAACGCTTATTTATGAACATTATTGGCCATCTTGGTTTAAAATTGAAATCTGAAGATTGGCAGTGACATTTTTCGCTTTCAAAAGTTGGCTGTTTTTTTAGGCCCTAATCTCTCATATTTCAACATGTCCGTGCTCTTTCTATGTAGATACTCTAGATTCAATGGAATTTACCATTGTAATTAATGAGACCCCTAATTTTTTAGATCAAAAATCTTTCGAAAAACATTTATTTTCGTAGATCTGGCAACGATACTTTTTCCGGAATCCGGTTCGACGTCCGACTAAGTCCGCGCGGAGGCGTGGGATGCGGAGGGAGGGGGAGGGGGGTGTCGTAGAGCGCGGGGTGTCTAAAATCACATCTTCAAAAGTTGTTGAAACTCCATTAAATCACGCTTCGAGGGCGGCTCGAAGCTCGATGATACCGGAGCTCTTGGAAAACTTGCGACGCCCCGAGCACGACCGACGCGGTCTGGGCCAATAAACAGCGTCGTTTGTCGTTTGCACTCCCCGAAGACTTGGGACTATAGTTCCTTGACTCCGACCCGGATTTTCGCGACGAACTTTGATGGTGGACGACAAAGTGCGGAATTCGATTTTCAGGTCAAATTTTCCAGCCTAATAAGCCCCTCAGTTTGACGTACAATAGAGGCTCGATTATCCACGAAGGTTGGGACCGGGGCTACCGCGGCAATTACAAAACTAGACTTTTTGGCTAGAAAACGTGATCAAGAAGGCTGTATTTTAAAAGAATCGAGTAAAATACTCGTCCAATATAATAACTCTCTCTTGAAACTTCGTTTTATGGATTGCGAACTCTACGCCCATGGGCTTTTTATTTTTATTACAGAGTATCTGTATTGGGAGGATATGGACAAGTCGGTAATTTTGAGAATAGGTCATGGAGCTTTCATGGCTCAAACGGGCAGTCAACCTAACAAATCGAATTAAATAGTGTGATTTAATGTTACAATTGTGACGACCTATTGTTTGTATACCACGTATTTGACTTAGTTTTTGCATAAAGGCACTCATTTTGCGGAAAAACGCTCATTGGTGAACATTCTTGGCCTTCTTGATTTGACATTGGAATCTGAAGATTGGCATTTTTCATGTTAGAAGGTTGGCTAAGTTTTTTTGCCTTTTGGACTCCATTTTTAGGTAGGTATCTGTACTCTTCGTGTATATATTCTGTTATCAACCGCCACATTTCGAGTAATTGTCCTTGATTGGAAAATAGTGGGGTATGAGACAATAATGAAGGAAGGAGAAAAACCGTCGATACTGCAATAAATTATTATTTGCTGAATCAGTGATCCAAAAATAAGAGTTTTTAAAACACTTGATACAATAGAGCCGAAATATTCCACCTCAGTTTTAAAGATTACATGCATTTATTCCCAAAAAAGCTTATTTCTGCCCACGCTCACACTTTGAAAATACGACAAACAAGTACCATGACGTCATGGAGCCCACATAA